TATATATATATTACATATTATTTCAAAGTAAATATTTCTATTTAATAATCAAATAATTTAGAAAAAATTATATAAAAATTGTATGGAACAGTTTATATGAGGAGCAAACCTTCAAAATGTATTCCGTTTAAAAATTCATTTTTTTTTTAATTAGAAACATAATGTTGAGAGACTCATATTTACACTTATGAGCTACTCTGAGATATTCAAAAAGCATTTTTTTTTAATCGTCAATTTATATGCTGAAAAAACCTAAATATACTCAAAGTGCGTTATATTCTTTGATTAGAGATAAAATGCATTTGTTTAACATTTCATATCCTACTGACTGGCATATTATTTTCTGTAAAGCGCATAGTTTCCTTTCTTTTTTTTTCTGAAAATTATAAATTTAAAAAATCTGCTCATATAATTATATGAAGAAAAACCTGCTATAATACAATGGCAACTATATGGAAACCACTTTATTATAATAGGTACAGATATGCGCTTATTAATTGTCTCTTGTTTCGGGTTCTTCATCATATGCTGCCATAATTTTTTCCATAATTTCCCATAACTTATCCCTCGCTAAATCTTTACAGAAAACCTATAATAAAATAATTTACATATAAATCTATTAATTAATATAAATAAATATACAGACACATAACACTATGTACACTCACATTGAACCATGGCTGTTGATCACATTCATCCATTAAGGGTACAACCACACCATATATTTGCAATGACAAATTAATACAAGCTATCGCTATTAAATTTGGTGAATAGTCAAGAATAGCTGGAGAATGATGAAAATCTTGCAATAGTGCCATACTTGTTTTAGCAACTGGATACTTACACCATTCCTCTTCGCCGAACCAAGCTTGTAAAGATCTTAGATAATGAAGCATGTACTATAACAAAATATAATATGATTATTCATTTGTTATCACACATGTTAACATTATTAATTAATAATATTAGTGATACTTTATGTGGATGCACAGGTGTAACTTGAAACTTTAGCATTCTCATAATTAAAAGTTCAGCTTGAACAATCGCATCTCTCATACTCCAATACTGATCTCCGAGATCGAGTGGTTGAGATCCTCTCTGAAGTGTATTATAGGATACATTCATTACATCTCGTATTTTTAGTGTATCATCCTTTACTTTACCAGCCAGATAAAGACAAGTTGCAGCTAGAAGCTAAAAAAAAAAAGGATAAAATTCGTCATATTTATTCAAAACACTTATCTAGAATTTTGAAATAATTATATAACTAATTCATTTTTACATAATTATCATATCCCTGTGGCGTTGCTTCTTTAATAAATCTATGATATAGTGTCGCAGCGGTAGCTATTGTTAGTGGATGAGCTTCCAATTTCAAACCTACAAATAAGTATTTTATAATTTTCTTTATAAAAATCGTTTTACAAGTAATTTTCTAACACAACATTATTATAACATACCGCATTCGAAAATAAATCGTGAAACTGTAAAGTTATCATTAGACTTTGTATAATCGATTGTAATGCTCTTTTGTAATGTATTTCTTTTCTCGCGTTGCATTGCAAGAACATCGATCACATCTTTCATCTTCGAGCTAAAGAGAGGTATAAAAATGCATTAAATATATCAAACAAAAGAAAAGAAAAAAACAATCTCGCTCAATATACGACAAACTTGTGAATAATAATGAGTGTCACAATTATGTCAGAATAGCGTTGAAAAAATATTGAAAAGCGTTTGATCTGTCAAGAGTAAACAGGCGTATAACCTTATTTCAGTGTCATCCAATGTGAACTCATTGTACCTGAGAGTCTCGGTGCCGGTTGGCTCTGAGGGATTCATTGCGGATACACTTGCCTTCGCAGAAAATGTGTTGTTTACAAATTTAATAAACACGATAGCAAAAAAACTTCAATTTCCAACTCATTCAGGTACAAGAGATCTAAGCCAGGCAGGCAGGGCCGCAGGGGGAACTAGGAAGAACCTGAGAGCAGCCATCGGCCATACCGGCTTTTTTCGCGTGACGCGCAAAAACTAACAAAAATACATAGTGGCACCAACATCATTCGTAGAAAATAAAGTGAACTACGTATAACATTATCGACACTGTTGATAAAGTCATAGTATTGAAAATTGTATTTTAAAAAGAAAATCTTTAAAAAATTTTATGATATAATTAAAGGAAAGTGCACAAAAATTGTTCTTTCCGTACACACATCATCAAAATTAAAATTTATTTTTCAATTCTTTAAGATTTATTATAAATTAGTGCTATTTGTAGCGAAATTGTTTCAGTGACATAGAATTTGAAGAATTTGAAAATTTGTGGTTTTGAGTTTGGATAGATGCAAGACAACGCAAAATTGGACAGAGCAATATTGGACAAAACAATATTGGACAAAAGTAAGATTGAGCAAAAACAAGAATTGGGCAGAACAAGATTGGACATAAATTAAGGTTCGATCACGTAATTGCAATAACCAACCAGAACACTTAGCGCCAATTGCGTTTCTCTTAAATATTTCTAAGCTAGTTATGTAATCGGTCGTTAACTGACCAATCGTATTTGCTGTTTAATAGAATTGACGAGTTACGATTGACAGTAATCCTGATTAGGGTTAATCGGCGTTGATAAAATCGACCCTTCAAGGTTGATCTTAAGACGGTCTTGAATATAAAAACTGGCTATTTGAAATTTATTATTCCCCTATTCTTATTGATTGGATTTTTCTGTTCGCTAATATAAATAATCCTTCACTGCTATAGAAAACAGCCCTATCACATCATTGATCGATATATACCATGGCTGTATCGCGATATCGTCACTTGTCACCTGAGTCAACCGCAGCTGATCACGACGTCACATGTGCGTATAGTTTAATCCGTGCTTGTCAAGTAGTTTTGCAATTGTGAAAAATTGTCGGTGCATCGGCTGTGATCTGTGATCGGCTGGTTGTATACGATCGACGACGAAAAATGCATGTTCAATGTTAAGGGATGATGAATCGACTCGCATGCGAGTGACAATGCTTCCAAATGAGGTTAACAACCGTTTCTATGTCGACGGATATTCAGGTTAAGATATCGAATATTACTGTAATGTTAATATCGTTATTCCCTGTAGGTCCTGTCGTAAACGAAACAGTCAATCGACGTGAAAGAGATATTACGAAACTTTGACAAGCGCAACTCTGACCATCTCATAGAAATTCAGAGATAATGTATTGCCTACAGTGGCTGATCCCGGTGTTGCTGATACCGAAACCCGTGAACCCAGCGCTGTTGCAAACCCACGTCATGTTCATGTCACTTTATCTGATTGGGTTCTTCCTAGAACGCAAACCCTGCACTATTTGCAGTTTTGTGTTTCTTGCTGCTGCCGTCCTCATTTGTTACAGTGGAATAGGCAATTGCCTGCTTTGGAGCACAAATTGTGACACAGTAAGATGCGACAATGGCTAAGATAATGTCAACTGTGCTTAACTTAATAATATTTAGAGAAATTATTCCCTTGTCAGTTTTTTTCCCTATTGCGTGCACATATGAGTGAATTTTTGCCATTCTCTTCCTCTTTTTCTCCATACTGGCATAATACACTTGAAAGTACTTTCCAATCCATATTTTGCTAGCATCTATTTCGTCCATATTGTGAAAACAATGCCTTTAGTGTTTAGGTTTAGCAAGATTAACTTTTCAAATTATCACAAATTTGAGTCTAATGTTCTATAACGTCATATTTTATTAGACATTTTTATGCTGAATTTATGTAAAGATTGAATCTCAAAATTTTAAATAAGCAAAAATGTGATACAATATATTTGATGAAATTTATATTATAATTTCTCAAGTTTTGTCACAATTATTGACTGGAGTCAAGTACATTTCCAGATTGTAGCATTATATAGCCTTTTTTTGTTAATATATACTATATAACAGATGCAATTTTCATACATTAATCAAATACACTTGCTATAACAGAATAAAACAAAAATCGATCTTATACAGGCAAAGGCATATACCTTTTATACTTATTTATAGTTTCTAGAGACAGTTTTTATTCCAATCTCTCCAATATGTAATTCTAAATATTTCTCCAAATAGAATCCCATATTCTTCCTTATGCATTATGCATTATAAAGAATACATCTAATAATTACATAAAGTTGTAAATCTTATTTTGTTAAAATCTCTTGCATCAAACAATATATAAAATGATTATTCGATTGATATTAGATGCAAAATGAACATAATTTTTTTAAATACTTTAACCGAGCACTTAACAGGATTTTATATATTCACACAATACACACAATGCATTTGTACCAAAGTGACATGATGTACAGAAACTAAAGCATCTTGAAATTTAAGATGCTACCAGTTAGTAAACATCTGAAAATCTAGCGAATTCTTTACTTACATGAAACTAATTAGAAAATGTTAATTGATTTATAATAGAACTTGAAATAATGTATCGCAAATATGATGAAATTTAGCTAAGCAAGTGTTGTGAGACTAAAATTTCTCACATAAAAACTTGTCAAATTTGCTCTAAAATATAGTGAACAGAGCTAAATTCAATGTGAAACGTGTGTCTCGTATCGCTGATTTTATGTTATAAGAAGTGTAAATTGTATTTATTTTTTAATTTGTATGCCTCATAAAAAGAGATTTAAGTGAGATACAAGTTCTTTGCTATAATTTATAATTGTAAATTTATTTTCTATCCACAAATGTTAATATAGTATCTAATTTAGCATAAGTAGCGTTACCAATGTACATAATATAGATAATTATAGTAACCAAAAAAATTATCATCCATATAAGTTTACGAACATAGATAAAAATTGAACTAAAACATTAAGTCATGTCGGTAACTCTTTTATATCTGATGTCTCTGAAGTATATATGTCAATTATCTTTCTGCATCTACCATATAAACTTATATTGTAATATTTTGACATAAGACAAGGAATTCTTTTAGCAAAGTTGCAAAAATTATATAGCAATTTTAGGCATATTTTTAAATTTAGATTCGAGTAAAAGCTTGACCAGAATCTTTGCAACTATACAAAAATTGTATCTATATTCTTTGGTATATAAGCACAAATAAAGAATCTGTGATGACTTTGATTGAGAAGTTCTGATTAGACACGATAGATTTATCCGTTCATTAAAACAAATTAGCATTAAAAACGTTTTATTTTTTCACATTATTCTTTGTAAACATTGTAATGCAATGTATCTAACGTAATACCTACATCGCTTCCATGTGAAATATAAATTTAAAACTTTACAAAAAAATAATCATAAAAACTGTAAGTTTATGAGTAATAAAGAAATTCCCAGTCACGTGTGAATTTGTTTTTTTTTTTTCTTTAATGCATATTATATATTAGAATCAATGAAAGTATCCACATATGTATTAAATGTTAAAATGAAAATATATCAGTTTTGTTTTTAAAGCATATTTATTTTTCATTAAAAAAAAAAGTTATTGAAGAGCTTTTCCACGGCCAAAACCACCACGGAACTCGAGATCGCCAGTACCTGCACCAACATCAGCTTTCTTATCACCGGCACTTGGGGGACCACCTGGTCCTCGTCTATATCCCGCACGATCTTCTGTTGGTCTTGAGCCTTCGCTCCTAGTTGCCGCAGGTCTTGGCCTCGTAGTTTCTGATCTTGGTTGTTTCTTAAGAGTAGAGGGTACAATTTCAGGTGGCAGATGTAAGTATCCACGTAGATATTCGATACCATCGTTTGTCAAGTACCAATAGAAATGTCGCCATGCAAACTGTTCTTTGACATATCCTCTAGACTTTAAAGACTAAAAAGATAGATAAATATATATATACACTGGAAACTTTAACCTTTGTATAATAGGTGTACAAATTATTTCTGTCTGTTTTTGTGTTCAAAAATGCATTTATTTCGAAACAAAATGAATGAACAGATTAATTAAAGTTATTGTCCATCACTGGCTACTACTTTTTCCCATTTCTCAGGCAATTTTTGAATTCCATCTCGAAAAAATGACTCGTCTGGAGGCGATCATCTTTTAGAAAACGGACCGAACTAATTTGTACTCCTATATTACATATATATATATATATATATATATATATA